TATTGAAAGTGCCATGGGCTGCCAAAAGAACCAATTGATCTGTTTTGCAAGAAGTGCAGCTGGAGTGCTCCCTGGAGGGCAAGATGGCCAAATTTGTTCTCTCATATTTTGGACATATTGTCAGGAGAGACCAGTCACTTTAGAAGAATATCATGTTTGGTAAGGTGGAGGGTCAGAGAAAAAGAAGACTCTCAACAAGATGGATTGACCAAGTGGCGGCATCAATGGACTCAAGCATGGCAACAGTAGTGAGGTTGGCCCAGGATTGGGCAGTGTTTCATTCTGCTGTGCATAATGTCGCTATGGGTCGGTACTGACTCGATGGCACCTACCAACAACAACAGAAAGTCTGAAGCTAGATGGGTCTGACACCAAACCTGGCTAGCCCTTGGTTACTACAGCAAAAGTTGTTTTCTCATAGTGCCAACCCTGAGCTCAGAGGCCATTCATATTCACCTCCATCAAATGGAGGACTGTCTACATGCTCCCTGCCAGCCAGTGAAGGCAAGGCAGCCCTGTCCGGGGTTCCTTGCTGTGCCAACTCTTCTTACACATGAGTTCTTTCAACAACTGCACTATTTGCCTCCATCTGTAGGTCTCTACTGAAGAGCCGATGGGTGCAGTGTGGCAGGGACCAAGGAAGAGAAGCAGGCACTCCCAGAGAGCTGAAAAGTCTGGCCTTTTCTGAAGATCAGAGGGAAGATTCTCTCCTTCCAGCTGAGCTCCCCATGAGCCCATCTCTCTAACAGGTTACAGAGACAGGAAGCCTGTCTCCCCAGTGTCTTCTGGTGTCTTAATCCTTACCTGATCACAAAGAGTTCCGATCAAGCCTTCCAAGTCCTGCTTCTCATGGAGGACCATCTGTTTCTCCTCATACTCTTGCTCCAGTTGCATTTCCAGCTGCCGGAGCTGTGGGCACAAAGGCAGATGGACATAAGGTGAGTGGACCTTAGTGGGGGGGCGGGGGGAGAGGTTGGAGGGCTGGTAGTTCTTTGCTCAGTTCCACAAAAGTTACTCTAGAGACTGGATTCATGGCCATCAAGCCAATTTCAGAGTAGAATTGTTCCAAAGGGTCTTTCTTCCACAGTGCTGCTGGATGGGTTCAAACTACCAAACTCTAGGCTAGTAGTTGAGGGCAGAGTCTTTGTGGCATCCAGGGGTCTCTGTGACTGGAAAGAGGCATCTATGTTGGAGAACTCAGAAGCTTGGGAGCTGGCCAATTATAGGGACCTCCCTGTCATTTTCCCATGAAGTTCACAGTCCTGCTCCATATTGCTCCACCCAGACAGAAGGGATGTGTCTCTCCTACACTCACTGGGCTGCATACACATCCTGCACTTAGACCTTGCCCAAGATTATATGTAATATGGTAAAACGCCTCCATCTCCCTTATGAAACACACTATGTTGGAGTTTAAATTTTTTTGCATTTGAGATTATTTGTCTAAGAGCAATTTGTGGAACTTACAATTGGCTCCAATTTTTCCACAATCGTCCAGTAAATTCGGGTATTGTCATGAAGTGAACAGTTCCAAAGTAGTTACCACCAAGGTGACTACAAATCATGGTGACCCCATGTGTATCAGCGCAGAACTGTGCTCCACAGGGTTTTCATTGGCTGGCAGTAGATCGCCAGGTCTTTCTTCTTTGGGTGGACTGTGCAGATTGTTCACACACTTGGCTGTGTGTGAACTGTCGGCACAGCCCACTCCAGCTGTGCTTGCTCCCCACTGTTCAGCCTCTCTCCTGTGTATTTTCTCATCTTCATTCTCCCTGCTGACCCTGAGTCATTAATGACTCTATTTCACACATGGGCAAACGAAACCCCAGAGAGTTTCAAAGATTCATACTGCAAGGCAATAGTTTCAGGAAAATGTTCCTGTCCTGTCTGCTGGCCCTAGCTTCTTTGGCCAACCCTGACAGTGACCAGCTTCCCACCTAGGTCACTGACAATTGATTTCTTGCCACAGTGACAGATCGGCAGAGCAGAGCCGTCACATTGATGTCAATGTTAGTGTGTCATAAGGAGAGAAACGCCTTCCCCTGACCTCGCTCTTTCCTTTATAAATCTGCTCACAGAACAGTCTCAGGGCATACACCATCAGGCATTGGAATTCTAGGAATGGACCAGAAATGTGTGCAACCTTCAACTGAGAGGACATCAGCAGGGGCTAGGAGCTTCCATTCCCTGATCCATGGAGGAAAAATACTGACCGGTGGTCATCTATAAAGAAAGCAAATTCATTTAGAAGCTTTCTTTAAAGAGTGAGAAGTATCAAGCATGCTGCTCACTTCTGCTTTTAGAATGAAGACTGGATACGCTAAAACTTGGTTTGAAAAATACACAAAATTATGAAAATAATGGAAAGTTTTCTGCAGTGTGTTCTGGAAAATACTGCTCCACCATGGTGCCCATAGGTATGATGCTGGGGGAAGGAGGAGAGGGAAGTCCACTTGAGGATAAGTGTGACAGGTTCTTCACTGCAGGACTTATCAGAGGCTATGGTAAATTCATGTGCATTATGGATCCCAGGGACACTAGCGGATGTGGCATCATCCAAGGTTGAGTTCCATCCACCAAGGGCTTCTTAAATGGTTCTTCCACGGACCAACATTTTTGGGGGTGAGGGGTTTTGGAGTCTAGCTTTGCTGCATCTCATAAGTCCACTGTTGTTGTTACAGTGTGCCAATCCACTTCATTGAACGTGTCCCTTGGTGTTGTTTTTTTTCCCCCCACAAAAACAAAGCTTTAATAAAGTGAGATGCCTGCAATTGAACATGAAAGGTATAAGACAAGACATTTCTTGTGGGTGAGTATAGTATAAAAAAAATTGAATTCTGATCCCCCCCCGCCCCGCCACTTGCCAGGTCTAACCCCATCAACTTCAACAGAAACTTAGCTGGGGTACTAAGCATTTTCAAGGAGAAAATGGTGTATGCCCTGAGACTGTTCTGTGGCAAGAAATCAATTGTTTGCATGGGTTTTTTTTTTTTGTTGTTGTGCTGTTTGTTTGCTCTTTTGAGAATCTACGTTATATTTCATTTGAATCATCAACACCATTCTCGGTTTTCCTTTTTCATTGTCCAGCTTCTGCATACATATGAGGTGATGGAAAAGATCATGGCTTGGGGCAGGAGCACTTTGATCAACAAAGTGATATCTTTGTGTGTGTGTGTGTTTTAAATTTTAAAGAGTTATTCTGTAGCGTAGTTATTTAATTCCATGTATCATTTGATTTCCTGCTACGTCTATGGGCATCGTTGGTTGTTGCTGTTGTTAAATGCCGTCAAGTTGGTTCTGACTCATAGTGATCCTGTGTAGGGTTTCCAAGGAGCAGCTAGTGTTTAGAAAGCTAATCATTAGAGTCAACTTTGGGAAATGCTACTCAACACCTTCTTGAAGATTCACAATTGGTCAGAAGGCTAGGAAGGTCTCAGAGAAGTCCCTGTTATGAGGCAGCCTGCCTAATAAGGATTTACTCCATGGTTTTCATCCATTCTACATTAAGGATTCATCATACATTGACATTAGTTGAAACATCTTATAAGTGTGCTTATCTCAGTAGAAAATCAGAAACAACCTAGAATTCTAATGACAGGGAATTGATTGACTATCTCAAAGCATGTGCATAAGGCGGGAAACTTTAAAGCCACTACACATACAAGTTAGATCTGCATTCATGGTCATGGAAGGAGGCCATGACAAACTGCAGAGGGAAAACAGCAGGCTTCAAAACCACAGGACTGATTTAGGTAGGATGGTATATCAACAAGCATGTGTGTGTGTGTGTGTGTGTGTGTGTGTGTATAAGCCAAACACAGTCATGTCATGCAAGAACATTTAAATCAAGTTATAGGGATGCTGTCTGAGTGGTAGGAGTTTATTGGTTCTTTACACAGTTGGAAATGTCTACAAATAGCTTGAATAAGATGTAAGAGCTAATATATGAGTGTTGAGAGAAATAGATGAGACCAGTCCACTTGTTGAAAGTTATAAGTCCTCACCCTGGGCATCAATCAACCTGGAACTGTAGACTCTTGGCAGAGATCTTGAGCTGACTATGTGGGACAGTTCCAGAGGCTTCTGGAAGTCCCCAGATCAGGGAACTAAGGTCTCAGCTGGTTGGTAAAAAGATCTGTACCCTGGTCTCCTCATTCTGAGGAAGAGAGCACCAAGAGTAATATGCAGGGCCCCAAGGCATGGTTTTGTCAGCTGTCCACATACCCGCTTCTGGCAGGACTGGCGGATGTCCTCCAGTTCCTCTTCTTGGTCCTCACGGTCCTTCTGGTGCATCTGCTTCATCCGTTCAATCTCCAGCTCAAATTGCTGACGAAGCTGGGGGAGGAGCAGCAAGAACCATACATGAGAGTGGCCCATTCTGCTCCCCTGACCCTCCATGCCATCTTCAAATTTCAATCACATTTTTAAGGTTTTTAGAGTGCATGTGTGACCCTCATGGTATCTTCCCAGCCACCCAGAAAGGTCAGAAATGATAGATAAGTAGCCCTATCCCTTTCTATGGTGATAAAAGGACATCACTAATTAATCATTCTTCCCCACTGAATCCTTCTCAACACTCTTTATGATTAAACAAATTTGTTATAGCTGAAAGAGACAGTGATAGCATTTTTGTGGGTGTACAGATGTATGGATGTATGGATGTATGGATAGATGGGTGTATGTATGGATGGATGATGGTGGATGGGTGGGTGGATAGTTTATAGATGGATGGATAGGTGTATGTAAGGATGAATTTAAAGATGGATGAATGGATGGGTTTATAAATGGATGCATGGCTTACAAATGGATGGATGAATAAGTGTATGTATGGCTGAATAGATGGATGGGTGGATATATGTATGTATGCATGTATGGAGGAGAATATTGAAAGTGCCACAGGCTGCCAAAAGAACCAACAGATCTGTGCTGGAAGAAGTATAGCCAGAGTGGTCCTTGGAGGCCAGGATGGCCAAACTTGATCTTTCATACTTCAGACATATTGACAGGAGGGACCAATCACTGAAGAAGGATATCATGTTTGGTAAGGTGGAGGGTCCGAGAAAAAGAAGATTGGCAAAATGGCAGCATCAGTGGGCTCAAGCATGGCAACAATTGTGAGGTTGGCCCAGGACCAGGCAGTGTTTCATTCTGTTGTGTATAGGGTCTCTATGAATCAGTACTGACTTGATTGCACCTGCTAACAACAATAACAACAATGTCTGGATGGATGGATGGGTTTATACATCGATGGGTTTATGGATGGTGGGACTCAGTGTAGTGGTTACAAATCAAGTTACTAACCTTAAGGTCAGCAGTTTGAAATTACCAGTTGTTTCATGGGAGAAAGATGAGGCTTTCTGCTCCCATAAAGATTTACAGCCTCAGAAACCCTGTAGAAGGTTGCTATGAGTCGGAACCAACACCACAGCATGTAACCACCACTACCATGCAGAAATAAAATCCTGGGGAAGGAAATAACTTGCCTCAAGTTGTTACCTTGGACAATTCATTTGGTCTCTGATTAGGTCCATTTCTCTGTGGAAAACAACTATCCTAGAACGCTACTATAAGAACTAAATGTGATAATCCAAGGGAAACACTTAACACATTCCTGGCATTTGAATTTTCATCATATTCCCTGCCATTTTGAGTACAGAGATAAAAGAGTGTCTTGCCCACCCTGGCAGTCTGATATAATTACAAGCTGTGTCACCATGAAGGAATTGTGTCCTTTAAAGGAGAGCATCTGAAACCTGTGTGAACAAGCAAAGAGCTATGGGTGATGGTGCATTTGTCAAAACTTGTCCAACTTGTCCATTACTATGTGAGGCTGTATAAAAGATCTGGAACAGGAAGCAGAAGTCATGGTTTCCAGTTCTAGGTCAAAATTTCACTTTCCCATTTTGCATAATTGAGAGATTGACTCAAATCCTTTCTTCTCAAAGTCTGTGATGTTAGAATTACTTAATTCACTTAGCCAGTTTGTTGTACTGTGGAGACAAGCATGGTGCTATGATGCTGAAGGCTATGCACCTGGTATTTCAGGGTCAACAGTAGACAGGTTTCAGGGGAACTTCCAGATTGAGACAGATTAAGAATAAAGGCCCAGAGATTTGCTTCCCAAAAGTCCCCAATGAGAACCTTATGGATCACAACAGAATATGGTCCAATACAGTTCTAGAAGATGAGGCTGTAAGACTGGAAGGCACTACAAAATGGCCACAATAGACTCCAACATGCCAACAATCATGAAGATGGCATAGGATCTGGCAATGCATCATTCTGTTGTACACAAAGTCACTATGAGTTTGAGAAGACTCAATGGCACTTACCAACAGCAATTTACTTTTTTTTTTTTTTTTAAAAAAAAAAAGTAAGTTCCAGCAATTCATCCTAGAACTAATGAATCAGAATCTCCAGGTTAGCAGAGTCTGTATCTCAAAGACTTCCCGGCATTTTGTTATGAGCCATGGCACACACTTGGAACTCAATGGTGGAGATGGGTTACATTGTAGGAATCATATCTTTCAAATCATAGTGACCATTTACTGCACCATTCGAGCCTCTTTCAACAATTTTCCAAGGGATTTTTACAACAACTGCCCTAGCATGGAAATTAAGTTGAGAAAAAAGCCAATGTTGTCCTTTAAAAAAGTTGATAATACTCCTTGCTATGTAAAAATATGGGTAGTGTAAAGAATTAAGCATAATACTAACCGCAAAATCAGTGGTTCAAATCTATCCAGTGCCACCTCAGAAGACCTAGTGATAGACTTTTAGATCACAGCCATTCAAAACCTTGAGCACAGTTCTCTGACACACATAGGGTCGTCAGGCATCTGAATCAATTTGACAGCTACCGGTTTGGTATGTAGTAAGGCGAGAAAGAGGAAAAGGCATATTGTTCATCACAATGCCTGGCAAATAGCTGTTTTTGTTGGTAAGTGCCGCTGAGTAAGTTCCAACCCATAGTGACCCTGTATAGGATTTCTGAGGAATAGCTGGTAAACTTGAACCACAGGTAGCAGGCTCCCTTTAAATGTCAAATTCCTACCCTTCAAAAAAATGATGGCGGTTATGGGAAGATAATCTAAAATAAGGACTCCGAGCAAGAAAATATATAATTTCTTTTTCATTTTTTCCAGCTTCTTAGACATGCCTAACATCTGCAATACCATTTATGTCAAGCTTATATGAGTTAACAAGATTCCCTGGGAAAAAGTGCTGTATTATAATCAATAAATATCTACTACATGCTTACAAAAGCACAAGGCAGTGTGAAGTTATGGGCAAAGCTGAAGACGGATGAATGTCTTCAGTTAGCTTCGCCTTCTAGGTAAGGTGAGGTTGAGAAATTAGAAAATTGCATTAACTTTGCTTCTGAGTACTGTGTGATTCCCTGGTGGTTATCTTAAAGAGTTAACACAATTTTTCAAAGTGTTTGCTTTACATCCAGCTCTGTGAGGTGCCGGCTTGTTTATGGAACGTTGAGGGGACATGTGATGTTCTCCTTGTGAACCTGCACAGATTCGTAGCTGGGACAAAGGGGAAGCCGGGAGACGGATGAGGCTCAAAATGAAGTCCTCATGAAGCACAGTTCTACTCTGATGCACATGGGGTGACCATGAATGGGCATTGACCCTTGTCTACTGGATTGTTTTTATTTGCTTGTTGTTCTTATTGTTTATAAGGACACTGAAACTTATAGACTTGCCTAAGATCATATAGATAAGGCCAGTCTCAGGGACCCCATCTGGATGTGATCATTCACAGTTCCTTCAAAGGCATGAGAGTTTCCTGTGCCTTTCAAAGGCATGAAAATTTCAGCTTCAGTAAATATCACTTCCTCCAGGAAGCCACCATTCCCAAGACTAAACTACAAGGTAAGCGTGCCCGTGGTCCCCCACACGTCTCCATGACTCTCAGTCTGACCAGATACTTCAGGAGGGCTGATGCTGACCACTGCATCCTTACTACCCATGTAGTGCCCAGCAATTGGCCTCTGACTTATAGAGCCCCATGAACAACAGATCTCAACGTTGCCTGGTCCTGTGACATCCTCTCAATCAGTTGTGGATTAGATTATTGTGATCCAAAGAGTTTACCCTGGGTGACTTTTGAAAGCAGATTACCAGGCCTTTCTTCCTAGTCTGACTTAGCCTGGAAGCATCTTCTCCTTCGACACCCCGGGGTTCCAAATGTGGTTTTATGCATATGTCACACAGTACTCCTGGCCCTTTCAGCCACCCCATGCTCCATAAATCAGCAGGAGCTTCACAGAGCCTCGCAAAACCACTTTTGAGGTTTGTGAACTCTTTAAGATGACACCTAGGAACTACTCAGTGCTTATAGCAACACACTAGTCTCCAGTGACAAATGGCTCGTGGGTTGGGAATCAAACCTGAGTCTCTCGCATGGGAGACTGAGAATTCTATGACTGAACCGCCAATGTCTTGCTGTCACATAAGTCCTAAACCAAACCCACCGATGTTAAGTTAAGTCTGACTCATAATGGCCTTCTGTTGTTGTTGTTCTGTGTCATCAAGTCAGTTCCAACTCATAGCGACCCTGTTCCCAAGGAGTGGCTGGGGGATTTGAACCACCAACCTTGAAATTCAAACCAACCTTGCAGTTCAGTGTTTGTCCTATCGTGTTATGCTAGGACTCTGTGTTGTTGTTGTTGTTAAGTGCCATCAAGTCAGTTCTGACTCATAGTGACTCTGTATAGGGTTTCTGAGAAGCAGTAGGTGGGTTTGAACTGTTGACCTTGTGGTTCGCAGAGCAGTGCTAATCCTAGAGCGCCATACCAGGACTCTATTGTTGTTGTTAAGTGATGTCGAGTTGGCTCTGATCCATAGCAACCCTGTATAGGGTTTCCGAGGAGTAACTGGCGAGCTTGAACCGCCAACCTTGACAATTCAAATGGCTTTGCAGTCTGGCACATTAACCCTTAGTGCCACAGACTCTACAGGACAGAGTAAAACTGCTTCCTAGGGTTTCCAAGGCTGTCGATCTTAATGGAAGGATACTGCCATATCTTTTTCCCAAAGAGTGGCTGGTGGGTTTGAACCACCAACCTTTTGATTGGCAGCTGAGAGCTTTAACCACCATGCCACCAGGTCACTCCTGTGGGACACATGTAAACCAAACAAACCCATAGCCATGGCATCAACTCCAACTCATAGCGACCCTAGAGAGGGTTGCCAGGACTGAATCTTGGCAGGAGCAGAGAGCCTCAACTCTCCTGCGATACTGTTTTTGTTGCGAAGTTCTATCAAGTCAGTTCTGACTCATACCGACCCGGTAATAGGAGTGGCTGGTGAGCTTGAACCACCAACCTTGCAGTTCAAACCAACCTTGCAGTCCAGTGCCTTAACCCACAGTGCCACACCAGGATTAACCACTGAATAAATGTGGCTGGCCAAGTGAGAAAAGACCTTGTTTCAGCTCTACTGAGGCAGTCCCTTAACTAGCATCCAACATCCTCAAGACTCTGTCCCCCAACACCTGCTCAGGGGTGTGTTATTATTGTTAAGTGCCATCAAATTGGATCCGACCCATAGCAACCCTATACTGGGTTTCCGAGGAGCAACTGGTGATCTTGAATCACCGACCTTGCAATTCAAATGGCTTTGCAGTCTGGCTCATTAACCCACAGCGTCACACCTGGACTCAGTCAGTAGGAGAAATGAAATTTCGATACATCCTAGTTTGACAGAGTTGCATAGAGATCATGTACTTTACACTGGTATACTACCTGGTCAGCTGGTCAGGAGCCCGGGAGGCACAGTGGGTTAAGTATTGCATTGCTAACTGCAAGGTTGGCACTTCAAACCCAACAGCTGCTCCAAGGGAGAAAGATGAGGTTGTCTTTTCCCGTAGAGTGATCTCGGAAACCCTAGAGAGCAGTTCTATTCCGTCGTATGGGGTCAGTATAAATTAAAATTAACTCAGTGGCAGTGAGTGGGTCAGGTCATCTTGAAAAAGGAAGTCCTGGCCTTACAATCATTTAAAAACAATTGGATGCGTGGAAAATTCCCTAGAAATCTTCTTCCCTGAGAAAACCTAGATTGTTCTTTTCTATCTTGAGGATAATGAAAGCAAGTAACTAACTCATCTTTCCTCTTTGTATCTAGCTACTAGGGATTTTAGAGCTCAAACCAATTTGTGTGTAAGACAATACTGTGTGTATATCGACATTTTATGTTATTAACTGCATATCATGAACTGAGTGAAGGTTTACAGAGCAGATCTTCAGTTTTACATCCAACAAATCATTCATTTCATTTCATCTCAATGACTGTAACTCCTCGCTGTAACATCACTGATCCCACTTGCACTCAGTATTTCTTGTTTATATTCCTCTTCTCGCAGCCTTTCTAAACTATGTCCTAGGATAAATGCTGCCCTTTTGATCTCATATGGTTGACATGTCTGTGGTGTGAATACCTCCCTAGTATTGTTGTCCTCCCTGAATATCTATCTATTGCTTGACTGAAAATTGAGCCACAGGAGTGATTTCAGTTCCAGACCTGAAAGATGACCACGGCCCAGAGTCTCAGAGTTCACCAGTCTGATTTCTGTTCTACATTTTCTCCCACTCTGTCTGGGACCTTTTAATGTGATCCCTTTCAGAGAATTTTAGTTCCCTGTCCCCCAGCCAACTGTAGCATTTATTGTAATTTGTATGTTTCTGGCTTAGATTATTTTATTTCTAATTTTCTATTTTATTATGCATTTAAGGATCCCCTGTGGCAGAGTAGGCAAAGCACTCAGCTGGGAACCAAAAAGTCAGTGGTTCAAATGGGCAGGTTCATGGGAGAAAGATAAGGCTGTTTGCTTTTCCAAAGATTGGCAGTGCTGAAAACCCTTTGGGAGCAGTTGGACTGTTTTAGAGGGTTACTATGAGTCACTATGCTACTGGATGGCAGTGGATTTGACTTGGTTAGGGTTTTCTTCTGAACCACCTCTGAGTATTCTCGAACCACCAGTCTTCAGGTTAGCAGCCACGCATGTTAACTATTTGCACCACCCAGGGACTCTGGATATCAGATGGTGGAGTCAGTTCCAACTCATAGCTACTCCGTATAGGGCTTCCAAGGCCGTAAATCTTTACGGGAGCAGAAGGCCTCATCTTTCTCCCACGGAATGGCTGGTAATTTTGAACTGCTGACCTTGAGGTTAGCAGCCTGATTCGTAATCACTATGCTACCAGAGTGCCTTCCAGAGATCAGATAAACTGCCTTAAATTCTTTGTAGAAAGAGGTTGGGTATAGCGTAGTGGTTAAGAATCGGGCTGCAATTCAGTGTTTGCTTTTCCTGCCTTGCTCTCTTTAGTAATTTTTCATTTCCCAAATAAGCCTTATTTGAGGCTGTACACATCATAGACATTAAAGGTTCTATGGAGTCAGATGATGTGGCCCATTTACTTCACGTCTCTGAGCCTCAGTTTCTATAGCTGCAAAGTGGACAAAAATCCTAACATCTCACCCCACAAGGTTCTGTGGATCTTCAAAAATCTGCTATAAGGGAAGAGTTTAGGAATGAGTCTAGTACACAGAAAGTGCTCAGTAAATGGTCATTATCTGTTCAACATTTATTGAGCACCAACTATGTACCTGACCTCATTCTAGGTTCGGGGGATGGAATGATACTCAAGATTGACAAAACTCCTGCCTTCCAGGAATTTTTATGTTCATTGAGGGGAGCAGCATTGAACACAAACAATAGCTACCAAAACAGAAGGTCAAAGAAGATAAGAAGTGGATGGACCGCTGGGTGAGGGTCGTTTTCATGAAGGTGACCAGGACAGGCTTCCCTGAGGAAACGGCATTCAGTCTTGTAGGATCAACGCTGGACTGCTAACTGCAAGTCTGGCGGTTCAAATCCACCGGCCATTCCTTGGAAACCCTACACAGGGTTGGAACTGACTCAGGGGCACACAAAAGCAGCAACAGTAGGTGAAAGCTAGCTCATGGGTGACCCGAATGTCAGACTAGAGGAATGACAGATTCTTCTGGGGCCATAGGGAGCCACAGATAGCTGCAGAGCAGCCCCATGAGGTCGCGCTGAGCAGCACCTTTCTGTGTGAAGCTGGCCTGGCACAGCTGAGCCGGGCTTTCCTTTTCCTACCTGTTCCAGCTGCGTGATGGTATTCTCCTGCTGGTTCTGGATTTTCTGCTGCTCAAGAACACTGGACTCCATCTTCCAAAGTTTCTCCTTCAAATTGGCGACGGCATTTTGGCCCACAGAGGAAGATCCCAGCAGCTCCTGTTTGTGGGCCTGTAGCCTCTCCACCTCCTGCTTCAATTGCAAGATGTTTTGTTCCTTTTGCTTCAGGGACAAAGGGGACAGAAATCTGGAGTGACGTGAGGCATTTATGCTGGACCAGTCCTTAACTTCCCACTTTTCCACACCTGAGACCCCTCACAGCACCCCCTTGAGCACAGTTGGGTCAGGCAGTAAAGGAGCTGTTAAGTGGGAGACCATTACCATGGCCTATCCAGTTAGAGCTGGTAGTGTAGTGGTTATGAATCGGGCTGCGAACCACGAGGTCACAGCTGATCCACGGGAGAAAGATGAGGCTTTCTGTTCCCGTAAAGTCTCGGAAACCCTGTACAGGGTCGCTATGGGTCGGAACCGACTCAATGGCACTTAACAACAACAACAATCCAGTTAGAGCTCAAAGCATGTAAGGGAATATATGCCTGTTGAGGCTGGGCCTGAGACAGCAGAACAAGGCAGCCAACTTTCCAGAAATGACTATTCCAGCTAGGAAGTCTGCTGCAGGGGTCAGATCACTTGGGGCTATCTGGATCGAACTTGCTGTCAGTCAAGCCTCTCATGCCTTCCAGCTGGATACTTTGCCACTCACACAGATGACCCAAACTAGGGCATAACATCAAATATGGAGTTCTGCTCATCCATCTACCACCCACTGTTTGTTTTATTAAATCGTGGTGGGCTCAGTTAGTCCAGCTTCACTGTGGGCCTAGACAACTGTTCAGAGATCCCTCCCTGTCCCCATGGGCAGACATTACCCAGGAAGATAGATCCAAGATGGTACCACAACCCCCTCCAACTGCTTACCTCCAACTGCTGTTGAAGCTTGCCTAGCTCCCAGCGGACACTGGTGTTCTCCTGGGTTACTTTCTCCCGGAGGCCCTTCTCAAACACAGATTCACCCAGGGCCTGGGCCAGCTGCATATCAAACCTGTCCAAGGAATAGGAGGTGTCATGGTACCATGGCATATGGTGATAAGGGGACACTGGAGTAGGGCATGGAAGGAGGTAACTGGTTTACCAAAACCATGAGCGAGGGAGAGAGATGGGACACAGAATGACTGAAGATTTGCTCAACCTCTTCATGTAAATTTGGGATGTGGGGTCTACATCTGAAACACCAAAGAACAACTCTAAGGGTTCATACAGAGTTTCCACAAAATACTGGATACGTTTATCAAGAATTGGATTAAAAACAGATACAAGCAAAATAGAAGAAAATTACATTCATACATGGAGTAGAATTTTAAAAATATATACGAGGAGGCTTCAAAAATTTCATGGAAAAGTGGAATGAAAAGATAACAGAACTTTCCAGAAGCTTTTGGAAGCCACTTCATATATAGTAAAAAACCAGTCTACCTGGATTGTCACTAAATGCTTGGAGCCGTCACCCCTCTAACAAGCCCAAATTTGGAACCTAATATTTATTGACTGATGAACAAATGAATGAATATGAGGGGAAACAAAAAAGTATTGCTACTAGGTTCTAGTTCATACATACACAGGCTGTGTTAAAACATGTTTCTGAAATCAGTAGATGACTGTAGACAAGTCCACTCAGTAACACACTTGTCTTAGTCTCACTAGGGTATCTTGAAAATAAGATCAAATGATCTTAGGCACTGATAAACCACATTAAAGCATGATCATTCTTGATATGATGCTGGATATTCACACATTAAGAACTGTTTGTTTCCCAAGAAGAAGACACAGAGGCCCAAGAAAGCTACTCAGAGCCACGTGGGATAATAAGAAACAACTTGCCAAGGTCCCACTTTCCCTCAAGGATGGTCACCATAGGTCACCATACTTCACATCATCGCAGTCAGTTGTCCCTGCCTTCTACCCTATCAATCCAATTAAGGAGTCTTTGACAAGCCTCAATAGACTGTGACACTGAGTCACTGGTCTTCACCCCAAACAGGAAGTCCATTGATCTTAAGGACTTGGGTGTGGTCAATAGAGCAGAACCAGGACTCTGGTGACAAGAAGGTCTCCCTTGGTTCAAGGTGAGCTCGTGTCCCCTAACACTAGATGGGTCATTAAAAACCTCAAAATCTAGAGAAAGTACCAACTTGAGGTTACATATGGGAGCGCTATTGTTGGGACCCATCACTCATCTGTCAGATTGTCATACTGTGATGGCTTGTGCATTGCTGTGATGCTGGAAGTCAAATCCATGGTGGGCAGATTTCAGCGGAGCTTCCAGACTAAGACAGACTAGGAAGAAAAAGAGGCAGACCACTTCTGAATGTCTAGCTACTGAAAACCTCATAAAGAGCAGAAGAACCTTGTCAGATATAGTTAGTGTCCAAAGATGAGCACCTCAGGTTAGAAGGTACTCAAAATACAAGGGACCCTGGGACCATCAAGGGAGAAGAGTGGAGTGCGGGACCCTATCCAGAGAAGTAGCGACTCCAGAGATGGAGGCAGAGACAACGTGGAGAGATGGAGCAGCTGGGGATTCTGGACTCAGGGAGGGAGAGGGGTTGTGTGCTGGCGACCAGGGGGCAGGCTTGCAGGGTGTGCCCTTTGGTTGTTTGAATGGTTATATACTCCTGAGTGCCTCGGTACACATCCAAAAGAACCAAAAAAAAAAAAAAAAAACAGAAGGAGGGAATGGAAGCAAATGCTGTTGAATGATAATATAATCATTGCAATGAAATGAAATACGATAAGATGAATGTAAAGCTGACGTTCTCCCATGTAAACTATCACTCAATTCACAATAAAAACTTAAAAAAACAAAAACTAGGGTAGAGTTGACCTTAATGGCATGGATGGAGTTAAGCTTCTTGTTGTTGTTAAGTGCCATTGAGTCAGTTCTGACTCATAGCGACCCTGTATAGGGTTTCCAAGGAATGGCTGCTGAGTTTGAAACACAGACCATGTGGTTCAAACTGACGTTGCAGTCAAGTGCTTATCCTACAGCACCATATCTTCATTTTCTGAAGTGGAACAACTGAAATTGAGGAAAAACATTGAAAAACTGCAAACATCCATTAATAATCAGAATGTGGAATGTAGTAAGTATAAAATGTCGAAAAATTGGAAGTTTTCAAAAGTGAAATCGAACAAATAAGGATCAATATCCTAGGCACTAGTGAGGAGAAACAGACTGGTATTGGACATTTTGACTCTGATAATCACATGGTTTACCATGCCAGGAACAACAAATTGAAGAGGAATGGTATCACATTCACCATCAAAAAGAACATATCCACAGTCTGAGATAGGATAATATCCATATGTCTAAAAGGAAAACCAGTTCATAGCACTATTATTCAAATTTACATACCAACCACTGAAACCAGTAATGGTAAAAAATTTAAATTCTACCAATTTCTTCCGTTTAAAAAAGCAAATATGTAATCAACATGTCTTGATCACTGCTGGTGATTGGAATGCAAAAGTTGGAAACAAAGAGGAAGGATCTGAAGTTGGAAAATAAGGCCTTAGTGATAGAAATGATGCTGGAAACAGTATGATAGGCTTTTGCAAGACCAATGACTTATAGTGGATTTCTGCTGCTGCAAAGATTTATAGCTGTCTGAAACCCTAAGCAGGGTCACTGTGGGTCAGAGCTTACTAGAAGGCATTTACCAACAATGACTTATTTATTGAAAACACCTTTTTTCAACAACATAAAATGCAACTATACACCTGGACCGTACGAGGTGGAATACAGAAGCATCAAGTTGACTACATCTGTGGGATGAGACGATAGAGAAGAAGCTCAATATCATCAGCCAAAATAATGCCAGGGACGAATTACAGAGCAGACCATTAGTTGCTCATATGCAAGTTCAGGCTGAAGTTGAAGACAATTAAAACAACTCCATGAGAACCAAAATATGACCTTGAGTTTATCCCACCTGAATTTAGAGACCACCTCAAAGACAGATTTTATTCATTAGACACTAATGATCGAAGAGAAGAAAGGTTGTGGAATAACATCAAGGATATCATGCATGAGCCAAAATATGACCTTGAACAAATATGATCCATTAGACACTAGTGACCAAAGACCAGAAGAATTGTGGGATGATATAAAAAACATCATACAGGAAGAAAGCAGGACATTAAAAAGACAGAAAAGATGAAAGTGGATGTCAAAAGAGACTCTGAAACTTGCTCTTGAGCTAGAGAAGAAATGATGAAGTAATAGAACTGAACAGAAAATTTCAAAGGGCAGTTAAGGAAGACAAAGCCAAATATTATAATGCAATGGGCAAAGACATGGAGTTAGAAAACCAAAAGGAAAGAACATGCTGAGCATTTCTCAAGTTGAAAGAACTGAAGAAAAACATTCAAGTCTTGACTTGTAATATTGAAAGATTCTATAGACAAAATATTGAATGACGCTAGAAACAACCAAAGAAGATGGAAGGAATATGCAGTCACTGTACCAATTAGAATTATTTGATGTTCAATCATTTCAAGAGGTAGCATTGAAGAGAATCTATAGCATTGAAGGAGGCAGTCCTGGCAACACTAAAGATATTGGAGAAAAACTATGCTCCAGGAATTAACGGAATACAAACTGAAATCTTTCAATAAATTGATACAGACCTGGAGGTGTTCACTCTTCTATACTAAGAAATTTGAAAAACAGCTACCTGAACAACTAATTAGAAGAGATCCATATTTGTGCCTATTCCAAAGAGAGGTGATCCAGAAGAATGCAAAAATCATTAAACAATATCATTAATATCATATGCAAGTAAAATTTTTCTAAGGACAGTTGCATCAGTATAGTGACAGAGAGCTGCCAGAAATTCAAGCCAGATTTAGAAGAGGGTGTGGAATGAGCGATATCATTGCTGATATCAGATGGATCTTAGCTGAAAGCATAGAATACTAGAATGATATTTACTTATGCTTTATTGGCTATGACAAAGCGTTCAGCTGTGTAGATCCTAACAAGCTGTAGATAACATTGAGAAGAATGGGTATCCCAGAACATTTAATTGTGTTCATGAGGAACTTGTACATAGACCAAGAGGCAGTCGATCAAACAGAACAATGGCATAAAATCAGGAAAGGTGTGTGTCAGGTATCCTTTCACCATACTTATTAATCTGTATGCTGAGCATATAATCTGAGTAACTGGATTATATGAAGAAGAATGTGGCATCAGGATTGGAGGAAGCGTCATCAGCAACCTATGATATGCAGATGACACAAGCTTGCTTGATGAAAGCAAAGAGAATTTGAAATACCAACTGATGAAGATCAAAGACTATATGAATGGTACCTCAATATAAGGAAAATAAAAATCCTCACAAATGGACAAATAAATAGCATCATGATAAACGAAGAAAAGATTAAAGTTGTCAAAGACTTCAATTTGCTTGGATTCACATTCAATTCTCATGGAAGTAGCAGGCAAGAAATCAAACGGAATATTGCATTATCCAAATATGCTGTAAAAGACCTCTCTAAAGTGTTAAAGAACCAAGATGTCAGTTTGAGGACATCAAACTAAGATATGCCTGACCCAATCCATGGCATTTTCAATTACCTCATATGCATGTGAACATTGGACAATAAATATGGATGACCATAGAAGAATTGATGCATTTGAATTATGGTCCTGGCATAGAATACTGAAATTACCATGGACTGCCAGATGAACAAACAAATCTGTGTTGCAGGAAATACAGCCAGACTACTTCTTGGAAGCAAGGAGGATGAGACGTCATCTCTCATGGGTTGGTCATGTTATGAAGGGATCAGTCTCTGGAGACGGATATCATGCTAGATAAAGTGGAGGGTCATGAAAAAGAGGGAGATCCCCAACAAGATGAACTGACACAGTGACAGCAACAAGGGACTCAAACATAGCAACAATTGTGAGGATGGCACAGTACCAGGCAGTGTTTCGTTTTGTTGTTTATGAGATCACTATCATTTGGAACCAACTTTACAGCAACTAACCACAACAACAACTGTTGGGAACACCCCAGAGCTTTCTGACTGACTTTTGGTGACATCCTTCACGAGCCTGTACTCGCTGTATCTGAATGGAAGCACTGTGATGATGATGACGCAGCTGTCCCAATGTGCCAGGCCCTGGGCTCGGGGCTATTCAGTCCTTCCAGCAATTCATCAAGAATGATACTATACCCATTTTATAGAGGAGGAAACTAATGTTCAGAGAAGTGGAGTGACTCAGCCCAAAGTTCTAAAGTGGTGGAGGTACACTCTGTACCTAGCTTGTCTTCTGCCTTAGCTACTCCCTCATCTACCTGCACATGCCCGAGGACAGTGGGATATAACAGCAAGGGTCAGGGAGTGACTGGTGTTTGAGAGGTGATCCTGGTCAACTGATGCCAATGAATGGCTCTTACAGACCCCAACTCCTGCACCACACAAACCAGACAACTGCCTGAGGCCTGACAGATTCTCACCCACCCTTCTCCTCATTCAGAATGGGCCTTGGATTCAGTATCCCATGACTGTGGGAATCACTGAACCCAGCACAGGGCTTACCCCAAAGAAGCCAGCTGAGAGTTCCATCAGCCTTTGGAACTGAGCTTTATGATCCATGTGATAGTCATGGAAACAAGAAGCCAACCCAGCACGGAACCATTCTGAATGACTTTGAACTTAAAAGTCCAGTTGGACAAGGAACTTCACCAGCTTGGAATCAGCAATGAAGGAAGGAGCTGCATCCATAATTTGATAGGACTCAGTGAGATATGAAAAAGCCCTGGTCTCATAGTGGGCTATACATTGGGCTGCTAACCGCAAAGTCAACAGTTTAAGCCTACCAGCCATTCTGAAAGAGAAAGAGGAGGCTTTCTGCTCCTATAAAGATTTATAGCCTCAGAAACCCTATACAGGGTCACTATGAGTCAAAATTGACTTGACAGCAAGATATGAGGAGTATTGCTGACTTCTAAATCTCTCCCTCTTCATATTCAGTCTTCCTGAAACTACACCAGTGAGATTTCTACTGCCCTCATAGGCTCCCTGCTTAAATGCTGGGCCACTTGGAAGGGTAATTGCTGCCATCTGTAATTAGCACAAGAATAAAAGCAAGCCCCTACAGGTTTTGTAGCAAAAAGGGGGGAGTGGTTGATCTTGCAGTCTAGAAGAGGAGGACCCTGAGACCATCAAGGAAGAAGAGTAGGAGTGGAGTATGGGACCCTATTCAGAGAAGCAGCGACACCAGAGATGGAGGCAGAGATGATGATGTGGAGAGATGGAGCGGCTGGAGACTCTAGACTCATGGAGGGAGAAGGGCTGTGTGCTGGCAGCTGGGGACAGGCTTGCAGGGTATGCCCTTTGGTTGTTTGAATGATTGTATATTCCTGATTGTTTGGGTGTACATCCAAGAAAAAACAACAACAACAACAACAAAAAAATGGAGTAGAAGAAGCAAATGCTGTTGAATGATGATGCATGGAGGGAATTGTAATCATTGCAATGAAATTAAATACGATAGGCAATAGGTTGAGTGTAAAACTGATGTTATCCCATGTAAACTATCACTCAATTCACAATAAAAACTAAAACAAAAGAAGAAAAAAAAAGTGAGCTCCTCCAAAGAAATGATGGCTGACCAACCTGGGAGGCTCACAGCCTAGGTGAGTACTCAGAGGAGGAAAGGCAAGGATGAAGCAAGGGGGGCGTTCCCAGTGAGGCATCATGGATGTGTGAAGACTTGGAATGAAGGGTTCTGGCCAAGAGAGAGATGGAATTTTTGGACTGCAGAAACTCCAACAGCAGACCTCCTCACATCTGAGAGTTGATAACCTCTTGGAGATTATTCAGAGCAGTCTTGGAACCTACTGGCGAGGACCAGGATGGTCATAGCTGGAAGCAGAGCTAGGTAAAGATGGACTCCATGCCTCTCACTTGACAGGTAGGGAAAGCAAGGTCCAGAGAGGCAATGCCATCTGATAAGGCCACACAGCAGTGGCTGTCTCTCCAGCTACAAGAGTAAGGTTTGGCCAAAGCACCCAAGGAGAGGCAGAAAAGGAATAGAGTAAGATATTAATGATGTTGTTGTAGTCGACCCCGACTCATGACAACCTGATGCACAACAACATAAATTTCCACCCAGTCCTAAACCATCCTGACATGATGACCAGTGAAGCAGACTTGGGATTTTCACTGGCTAATTTTCAAAAGTAGATCACCAGGCGTTTCTTCCTCATACATCTTTGTCTGGAAACTTCACTGAGTATCAAAACCACATGCAAGCTTCCACTGATGTCATTTGACAAGGCCACACGGCAAGTGGCCGTAGTATGACTGACAGGAAGTAACTGAATCCATGTCTTCCAAGTGTAAAGCCAGAATTCTACCTCTGAACCACCAGTTTGAAGGGAGAGCATACAACTCCCAAGAGATTTCTACTTCAGCTTGAAGAAGCCAGCTCAGGAAAGCTCAAGGATGAATGAGATAAACAATATTTAACACAAATCGAGTTAAAAATCTATGCCACTCCTTCCACGAAAAGCTTCTCAAAAAATGCCCATCCTGGTGCACATAGGAACCCTTTTCTGTATTTTATCCTGGACCATCATCTATAAATGACTGAGCTTTACTTATTTCTTTCCTGTGACATCTGCATCAGGACCCTTCCCACCGCTACCCTCAGCAAGTGAGTTACAGACCTTAAGACATAGCCACGTTGTCAAGGGGCAAGAGAGTCATGGGACTTGAGGTTTTGCATAAGGAGAACCATGAGTGAGCATTTGAGTTCCAGTCTAGGCTTCACCATGGACCAGCTGAGGCAGCATCCAAATGACAAAGGAACTATTGGAACCAGTGTGCAGATATGAGACCGGCATCTTGTTTGGGCACAAGGTTCAGTTTCTTCCAGAATTGCTCACATGATCTGAAAGTCCAAGCACTAAATTAGGTAGCAGCTCTAGTTTGTGGCCTCACCCACTGGTTTTCAACAATGGGGATAGGAGCTGGCATTATTGTTCATGATCTCCTACCAACACTAGCCCCTTTAGATATGCCTACCATTTCATTCAGTCCTCCACACAAGGAGGGGTTTCTAGTCCCCAACTGAAGGAGAAAGACTCTAAGGGTAAGAAAAGTTGTATGTCTTGACCAAAGTCACACAACTAAGAAAGGGCACTGGGGGACTTGAACCTAGGAAGTTCAGCCTCAGCATCTGCATTCCAAACCACCATGATATATCGCCTATAACCTCCCTTGGCAATTGGAGGATGATAAGTCCCAGAGACGTCAAGAAAGTTCCCCAAGGACATGTGGCCAATTTGTAGCAGAGTTGGGTAGGAGAGAAGGATGTTCTTGGGAGAACCCCATCAGCAATAAAGAGTGTGAGTTGTTATCAGGTACCATCGAATCACTTTTTGGCTCATAGCAGCCCCATGGGTCAAGGTAAAATTACTCCATAGAATATTCTAGGCTGTCGTCTTTACAAGAGGAGATCACCACGTCCTTTTCTGGTGGAGTTTGATAACTATTTGGTTAACAGTCAAGTGTCTAACCATTATGGCACTGAGTCTCCTTAAGGTGTGTATGGGCTGGGAAGAGGGAAGTAACTAGAGCAAATGCAAGGATTCAAACCCCCTACATGGCGAGACTTAAATGAGGTGGTGGCACTTTAGGAGAAGAAGCTGGAGGCTCCAGAAGACCCAAGACAATGCAGAACACCACTCACTTCTTTTGCTTCTTCTCCAGCTCATGGCTCCGACTTTGCTGGTTCTCAAGCAGGACGCGTGTGTCTTCCAGATCACAGGTCACATGGTGGCACTTCCTCTTAAGCTGCTGAGCCATCTTCTTGGCGCCCTCGTAAGCGCTCTGCAGCTCCCCGAGCTGTGAAAGCAACAGAACAAATGATTTCTGCCTCTGGGAGCTGAAAGGAGCCCTGGTGGCCCACTAGGTTAAGCATTGGGCTGCCAACTAAAAGGTCAGTGATTGAAACCCATCAGTCACTCCACAGGAGAAAAATGAGGCGGTCTGTTTCCATAAAGATTTGCAGCCTCAGAAACCCCTGTGGGGCAGTTTTAGTATGATTGCTGTGCTCTGCTATAACTGCTATGAGTCGGAACCAACTTGATGGAAATAGGCAACAGATAGCCATTGCTGTTAGTTGTGGTTAAGTGCCATTGAGTTGGTTCCAACTCAGTGACCCTACCTACAACCGAACAAAACACTGCCCAGTCCTGCACCATCCTCACACCTGTTTCTATATTTGAGCCCATTGTTTCAGCCACTGCGTCAATCCATCTCATTGGGGTCTTCTTCTTTTTTCCACTCACCCGCCACTTTACTAAACATGAAGTCGTTTTCCAGGCGACTGGTGCCTCCAGGGACAAAGTAGCCCCAGAGTAGCCACAATGGCATGTCTCAAAAACCTAAGCAGGAGATCTTTTTCTACTAAGAGACAGACCCAAATAATTGGAACTCTCGATGGCACGTTCAACGGGCTGAATTTCATGGGAATGAGCGCAGCCTTAAACCAACAGCAAAACAAGCGTCTCCCATCGTCAACCAGGAAATCCCCTCCCATTGTCCTACTTTGGATATGGGAAAGAATGCAAGTCAGCACACTCCCTTTGAAGAAATGGCCTCATTAAAGAATTGCTTTAAATAAGCAAAATGCTGAGTTAATGAAGCCTGTAATTCTAAATTCAGTATTTGAAGGCAAATGGGATGTTTTCTTATATTCTGCCGCTCAGAGAAGGTTGCCGTTTTATTACTTTTTAATGTTGCCTGGCTATCCCCCTTCCTTGGGGAAAGTGACCTGACTTTATAATGTGTGAATAAGGGGCCGGGCTGCTTCTCTGCGGTTTCCTACTGTTTATCTACAGTTCAGAAGAGTTCTTGAGGACCACAACTGAATGCCTGTCTTGGAAGCAACCACGAAGGAACCACTATTAACTGCCACCACGGAAGATCCTGAGTCTCATTTCCACATTTCATAGACACTTTTCTCTGGAGCCCCTGCCCTCTGCCTAAGCAGTGCAAACAGTTAGTGAACTCCACCACTTATACTGAGCGAGTAGGAGGTTTGAGCCCACCCAGAGGTATCTCAGAAGATATGCCTGGCGAGACACTTCTAAAAAAAATTAACCACAGAAAACAACTCTATTGTGATGCACACGGTGTCACTGTGCATCGGGGTCTACACAAGAGCAACTGGTTAAGAGGACATGATAGGAAACAGGTCAATATGGCCACCACACCTATGGTATTTCATTATGAAGGAGACCAAGAAGAAAGCAGATATGTATAGCACAACACAATAAAGTTTATTTGGAGAAAGCAGTTCAGGGATAACCAAGTCAATCTGTATCACAGAAGACTTCTTGGAGGGACCAACATTGCAGCTTAGATCTTAAGATAAACTGGGGTTATCTAGGGGAGGGCGGATGGTGGGGAGTAAGAAAGTGTCAGAGAAGAGGGAACAGAACGTGAAAATGCTCGGAGATGACAGAGCAAGAAGAAAGCTGAGTGTGGTTGCAGTCTGTGGTGGACTGGAGCTGGCTTATACTAGCATATGAGACCCAACTGCACATCACTGTTCAACTCCACACTCCGGCACATGACAGGAATAGTTTGAAGTCAGCCCTTGTGGGAATATTTACACCATGGAAATGGGCAAATGCTACACATCAGGGCTTTCTTGTTTTTCTTCTTTGGGGAGCTGGTTTATCTGCACCTGCTGGTTAGATCATTAACTAGTTAAAGCATAAACTATGGGTAACTGAAGACAACACTGGACAGGAAAAGACTCTCGAAATATTCACATAGAAAGGTTCAATAGATCATGTTATACAAGGTGGCTTCAAAAAGTTCATGGAAAAAATGGAATAAAAATATAATAGTTTTTCCACAAATTTTTTGAAGCCCCATTGTATTTGTAATGTCTGTTTTTATTGTTGAGTGCCATTAAGTCAGGTCTGGCTCTTGTGACCACAGTAGGGTTTCTGAGGCTTTGTCTTTATGGGAACAGAAAGTTTCATTTTCCCCTATGGAGAAGTTGCTGGACTTGAACTACTGACCTTGTTTTCCATAGTCTAGTGCTTATCCTATAGAGCCACCAGGCTCCCTAACCAAGCAGCAGTCAAGAAATAATATGACGTATTACATTAGGCAAATCTGCTGCACAAGACCTCTTCAAAGTGTTGAAGAGCAAAGGTATCAGTTTGAGGACTAAGGTGCACCTGACACAAACCATGGTATCTTCAATAACTTCATATGCATGTGAAAGTTGGATAGTGAATAAGGAAGACTATATTGATACATTTGAGTTATGGTATTGGAGGAGAATATTGAAAATACCATGGACTGCCAAAAGAACAAATCAATTTGAGTTGGAAGAAGTACAGTCTGAGTGCTCCTTGGAAGCCAGGATGCACAGACTTAATCTCTCATACTTGAGACATACTGTCAGAAGGGACCAATCCCTGTAGAAGGATATCATGTATGGTAACGTGGCAGGTCAGGGGAAAAGAGGAAGTCCCTTAGCTAGGTGGATTGGCACAGTGGCAGCAGCAATGGGCTCAAACGTAGCAGTGATTGTGAAGTCAGAGCAGGACCAAGCAGTGTTTCGTTCTGTTGAGCATAGGGTCGCTTTGAGTCAATGCCAACTCAATGGCACCTAACAACAACAAAAGAAAGTTAGTGTTTCAAAACCCATCAGCCACTCCTCAGAAACCCTATAGACTCAATTGCACTTAACAACAATAACAAAGTCAGAATACTAATGGTAGATGTGAATGTATAGTGGCATAGTGAAAGAGGAGAGGAGCAGCGGACAGATCCAGAAATATCCCAAAGGATAAGTCCTTGTCATCAAGCTGATTCCAACTCACAGCGACCAAAGATATGCAGAGTGGAACTGTATTTGTGGGGTTTCCAAGGCTGTAACCTTTCAGAAGCAGAAAGCTAGGTCTTTCATCTGAGGCACCTCTGGTAGGTTTGAGCCACTAACTTTTTGGTTAGCAGTCAACTGATTAACAATTTACACCACTCAGAAACTCCCTAAGGATAGAAGCCCAGACAACGACAAGAGGCAAAGCCTCTTGTGTATTGGAATGAAGAAAGTGTGTATTGGAATGAAGACCCTTACGTTAAATCAGTGTTCCTGAAGGAGCTATATCTCTAAGAGGGGACAAGAAAATTCTAATCTACTGCCCCAAAGGGTGATGAAGAAGCTTGCATCTGTCTCTCAGTGGAGGAAACTGTCCTTACAAATGAAATCAGAACCCCAGACTTGCACATCATGTGGTTTAGAGACCTAGCAGACATTTTCACAGGTTGCAAAAAATGTCAAACTGAGAATTTAAGATGCTCTTATGGGCCATGGTAGAAGAAAGTGAAGAAGTGCTCTTCTGAGATGAACATGGATCACACATCTGTTAGCAAAGAACTCCCAATAAAATCAAGAAAAAGTGAAGGACATTTTTAAATGCCTGCTGATAACCAACACACGATACAAAAATAACTACACAGCCCAAGTTCATCATAAGAATTGGAAGGAAAGAGAAGCATTCTACAATGCAGGTGACCTAAGATGATAGCAGAGGGGTTGGAGGGGTGGGCTGGAGATGAGCTTTCAATTGAAGTTTACAGGACGCACAGGAAATGACCAACTATGTGAGTCTGCGCACTGTCAGGAATAGTACAATCTGAAGGAGGCTCAGAGAGATCTTAGCTGCAGTGGGGCAGGTGGTTGAAGGGAAGAGTCTGGACACGAGGAGACTGGCTCAGAGGCTGTTGCTCTGCTCTATATGATGGTGTTGAGGGAATAGAACAGAGGCATTGGGAATGGAGAAAACGGGACTGTTTTTAACGCATCATTACAATCACTTTATAGGTGAGAAAGCTGAGGTCTGAAGGGTAACGTGATTTCAGCAAGATCAAAATAGAAATTGAACTGGAACTCAGATATCCTGAATTAACAATGCTCAGTTAATAATCTTCATACCACAAAGTATCTCCCCTCCCACGCTTGGTGGTTAAGTTGGCTCCAACTCATAGTGACCCTGTATAGGGTTTCCAAGGAGTGACTAATGGGTTTGAACTGCCTACCTTGTGATTGGCAGTTCAGTGCTTATCTTACAATGCCACAACAGGACTCCTACCATCCTGGTGTTGTTGTTGTTGGGTGCCATCGAGTCGGTACCGACTCATATCAACCTATACACAAACAGAACAAAACACTGCCTGGTCCAGGGCCAACCTCACAATTGTTGCCATACTTGAGCCCATTAATGTTGCCACTTTGTCACTCCATCGTGCTGGGGGTCTTCCTCTTTCTCTCTGACCCTGGTAAACCCCACAAAACTCACTGCCTGTCAAGTCCATTCCAGCTCATGGCAACCCCATAGGGTTTCTCAGGTTATAATCTTGATGGAAGCAGACTGCCTTAGCTTTCTCCCACAGAGCAGCTGGTGGGTTTGAACCACCAACCACCAATCTTAGCAGGCAACACTTAACCCATTGTACCACCATGTTTTCTTTTGTAGAAGGCCCATGTATCAAAATATTTTTGTCTTCTATATCCTTCAGTGACCAGCATTTGTACTAACAGTGAATATTGGGAATGGGTGTTGTCCTCTTCCTCCCTCTCAGGTTCAGCCAACACTTTGATCACTCCGTCACACTTCTGAGACCAGGCTTTCCATTCCTTCTTACCTTCTGCTCGAGTTCTCTCCTGGATGTAATCTCTGAGTCCAGCCTCCCTTCACATTGCTGTAAGCGCTTTTTGAGGAACTCATTTTCCATCTGTGCACAGTCCAAGCGCATTTGCCATTCATCAGCTGTTGAAGAGAGGGAGGCCAGGAACATGTATGGGAGGAGAAAGAGAGAGCTCTTCCATTTCTTAGCTATTTGCATGCAATTTCTCAGTACTCATACAGTGCCTGAAGTTTGACTTTGAACTTCAGTTTAAGAAATCCTGTCTTATATCCAGGATAAAAAAAAGTACAGCTATCACTACCAACAGCTCTGAAAGGGATCACGTTAGAAAGATCTGGATACAGTGGAAGAAAAACATGGAGCAAAACTCAAAATCATAAAATAAAAAAGGCTTGTTTGTTGGACAGAAACTGATAGAACCTCCAAGAGTATGGCCCTTAGACATTTCCAGGTCTGGAAATGAACACAGCCCCATGGGTCCATTTTCAACCAAACAATAGGTCTACAAGGTGAATAATAACACTAGGAAAGTCTATATTCCTTAAAATAATCAATCATTTGACATAAAAAACAAAAAGGCAGCATTTGTCCTAAGACCAAGTTCCGAAGGCAGGACACTGTAGAAGAAGGAGCAATGCAAATGGGAAACAGGAAGTGGGATAAATGTGTCTGATTGTTGAAAGGAAAAATGATTTGCTCTGTAAAGTTTCACCCAATTTACAATAAAAAGTTAAATAAAACACTGCCTGTCCTAGCCACCTCCCGCTCTCGGAAGGTTTTGATTGCTCTCTTGCTTCTAAGCTTGGCTGACTTACACTCTTCAGTTGTCGCTATAACTGTGCACATACAGTTTCGTTATATAAGGAGACAGCACCACTCTGAAGGACAGGGTGCTGGTCTCGTTTTTTGTGAGTTCTCAACATCCCTAGAAGCTTCCCTACACACAGAAGTTTCCCCATTCCTGTTGACATGGGTTCACCAATTGTCTAATGTACCTACTAAAAGAACAGGCCAAAAGACCCACCTGTATGGCCTACTAGCCAACCTTCCATTGAGTATGTAATTCATAACTGTTGGTTGAATGAATTGATGATGATGCTGAAGTCATAACCCCTGGTATACCTAAAAATGTGACTTTATTTGTAAATCAGGTCTTTGTAGATGTAAAGGAGTTAAGATGAGGCATTCTAGATTAAGGTGGACCCTAATCCAATAACTGGTATCTTGACTATTGTTGTTGGCTGTTGTTGAGCTGATTCCAAGTGATAGTGACCCTGTGTGACAGAGAAGAACTGCCCTTAGAGTTTATGGAAGCAGACCACAATGTTTGTCACCCATGGAACTGTGAGGGTTGGCTTGAACCACCAAACTCTCCATTAGCTGCTAAGTGCTTAACTCTTTTACACACATGAAACTGTTCACTGCAGATTAGCACGTGAGTACATGGAATGCTGTGTTTACCTTGCTTATCTGTTAATCCGATGCTGGGTACACACCACAAAAGTTTCTCTCTCAATATTTAGCCATGCAAGAAGGAAAGGCTTACTTATTGTTGTTGTTTAATAATTGTGTTGGCATTTCAGCGGTGCAATTGAAGTGTTTTATTTCTTCGTTCTGCTCTCCTCTAAAGAGCTCTGGTAGCATAGTGGTTATGAATCGGGCTGCTAACCTCAGGGTCAGCAGTTCAAAATGACCAGCTTTACGCTGCTCCCATAAAGATTTACAGCCTCGGATACCCTGTCCAGGGTCGCTATGAGTCAGAACTGACTTCACGGCACATAACAACAACTCTCCTCTATTTTAGAAATTTTCTCTAATGCATATGTGTTGCCTTCATAATGAAGAACAGAGTATTTGTGGGCTGATTTCATGGAATGAAGATGCAGAGTCGAGAGCATATAGAGCATGGTGTCTAATGTGCTCATGGGCTTTTGTCAACTTCCGTATCCTTCCAGAGAACAGCCATTGGGGAGCATCCATTAAGCATGGACCACAGTCTGGATGGAACCAGTGGTGATCCTCTTGTGGGGAAACCACACCAACCACACAACTAGTTATAGAGGGACATGTTCCTACTCACAACATGGACTCACCTTGCTAGGTTTCCCAAATCATCGAGTGGACCCTGACTCAAAGTAACCCTCTAGGGGAGAGTACAATTTCTCCCTAGGGCTTCCAAGACTATAAATCTTTATAGGCGCAGACAGCCTCATCTTTCTCCAGCAGAGCAGGTAGTGGGTTTGAACTGCTGACCTTGCAATTACCAGCCCAACGTGTAATCCAGTACACCACTGGGCTCCTTCTCCCATATCAGGGGACCTCACCCTCCTCTGCATCAACCTCCCTTGTAAGTACCTCCTCCAGGCATTCCCAAGGTGAGAGAGGAGTAGAAAGCAAACACACCTTGCTCTTTCTCCATCACCATCTGGCCTCCTTTCCTCTGAAGCTCCCTGACATCCCTGGGGCATGAAATCTCCAGGTGTACTGAAGGACTGACACCAGCATTCCACAGAAGCTAAAACACTGGGCATCCTCACCCATCTCCAATGAGCAGGAGAGAGGAGTGAGAGGTACAGCAGCAAGCTGAGTAGCAGAGATGTCCCCACGCCCATCCAACCATGGACTGTGAGTCTCCAGGAATTCTGGCATCATGAGCACACTTATCCTTGAGCAATTTAGAAGTCCTCCCTGGTTCTCTCCATTCCTTTACTGAATGCTGAGAACCTGACACAGCTTTGCCATCTATAAAACGGGGGTTCTAGTCGTGTTCATGCTGTGAGGTTGTTATAAAGATGGGTAGGGATCCTATGATTGCTAGTAATTAAAACAATCTCGCAGCTCACAATCATTCAGTACTCTGTGATAAGCACATGGCCAAATGCTTTCTAGTAATTGCCTATGACTGTACCCATTTGAAAGATGGGGACATAGAGGTACTACTGATCTCATTGTAACTCATCTATTAAGAGATAGAGGCAAAATTTCCATCGAAATGACTTTTCTCAAGATTTCTACACACAAAACAATCCATATATACGAGGGGGCTTCAAAAAGTTCAGTGGAGAAACAGAACCAAAAGACAATGGGATTTCCCCATGAATCTTTTGAAGCACCCCTCATATATATAAAAGTGACCTTTCCATATAACTAATATTTACATTTTGTTTTTACAATCACTAACCAGCTCTTGTCACAGTGATGATGTATTTTTTTTTGGAACAAGGTTGGATGATCTGTTTAATGTATCATTCATTCTTCAACTAGATTGAAGACCCAGACAGGAAAGAAATGTGATTTTTGTTCTTTGCCATGGTTGAAGCCTCTAAAACTGGGTCTACCACATAGTACATATTTGTAAATGAATGAATGACAAGAGAAAAAAATGAACAAATGAAATGAAAAAAGCCACCAAGGGTCCCACTCTGTTTACCTTCTCCAGCACGATTTCTTTCCAGGTCATTCAACTGAATTTTCTGCTGAGCTTCTTGTAGCTGCTTCTCCACTTCTCCCAAATTCTTCTGCACTTGCTCATACTTGCTCTAGAAGAGAGGTCTCAAGGTATACAAACCCACTCCCACTGCTGTTGAGCCAATTCTCACTCAGAGAGATCCTGTAGGACAGAGTAGACCTGCCCCCCGAAGGTTTCCGAGGCTGTCAGTCATTACGGGAGCAGACAGCCTCATCTTTCTCCCTTGGACCAACCACCTTTCAGTTAGAGGTCCAATGTAACCCATAGGGCCACCAGAACTCCTTTGAGCTATCTGTAGGAGCTGGAAGGCCACCCACAGCACAGTTCTCACCGATGACACCTCCCACACCCAGACAGCGTGAGCTGCTGTGAGTCAGCCCATGATTCCTTGCAACCCCACACACAATGAGCCAATGCCATCCCCATGATTGGTTGCGATCCATGGAGTTTTCATTGGCTGACGTTTGGAAGCAGACCATCAGGCCTTTCTTCCTAGTTCTTCTTAGTCTGAAAGCTGCCCTGAAATTTGTTCACTATGACAGCAACATGCCCTCATGGACAGACAGGTGGCCTCTGTGCATTGGCCAGAATTGAACCCGGGTCTCCCATGTGGAAGGTGAGGACTTTACCACTGAGCCCCCGCTGTCCCCATAAGAGACCCACATGGTCTCCTGGGTCTCTAGTGCCTGACAGCCATGTGGCCTTTGAAGTGCTCGTAGGCTCATCAGCAAGCCTGGGCATCTTGCTCAGGCTGACCAGATGTGAGCCCAAAGGAACAGTCTCAGTCACTCCGAGCTGCCCTGTCCAGTCACCTCCAGCCACCTGTGCCCCCTCACCTTCAACTCCTGCACTTCCCGGAAGATTCTTAGCCGCTCTGCCCTCTCACCCTCCAGTGCCTGACAGGCCACGTCACCTTTGAAGCGTTCATCCGAAAGCTCTGTTGTCAAGTCAGTAATCTGGAAGGAGGGGATGAAATCAAGAAAGGGTCTCTTGTGTGGCTACTGCCCTTATGCCTCTGTGTACACTCTGCTGGACCACCCTTGGAAAAACCATTGGCTATCAATGAAAACTTGGTCCCTGGATGACACAGTTTGTACACATCAGCTAATCTAAAAATAGGTGGTCTGAACACATACAGTGGTGTGGAGGAAGAAAGGCCTGGCAAACTGCATCTGTAAAGAGGACAGCTAGGAAAACCCTGGAGCAGTTTCCCTCTGTAACACATGGGTTACAATCGACTTGATGGCAATGGATTCTTTTTTACCATTGTAAAGCCCCTTTACGTAGAATGAGACAGTTACAAGCATAGATTTCAGAATTGCTTTGCTTCTGCTGTGTTGGAATTCTTGGCCCAACGGTCACTCACTGTGTGACTTTGAACAAAGTAGGAGTCCTGGTGTGGCACTGTTAAGTTAATGCGCTGGACTGCAAAGTCGGTTCGAGCTGCAAGGTTGGCGGTTCGAGCTCACCAGTCACTCTTCAGAAACCCTTTATAGGGTTGCTATGGTTTGGAATGGACTTGATGACACTTAACAACAGGATACCTATGAGATCTCAGTTGTTTCAACTTTGAAGGGGGAAATTAACATATCATTGATCTTAATCGTAAATAAGTTACATAAAGCTTCCCATAAGCACATGGTCACCATAAAAAAAATTTCAAACCAGCTGCCATCAAGTCCATTCCAACTCAGAGGGACCCAAACAAGATAGAGTAGAACTGCTTCCTAGGGTTTCTGAGACTGTCAATCTTTATAGGCACAGAAAGTCTCATCTTTCTCCCTGGGACAGCTGGTGGGTTTGAACTTCCAACCTTATGGTTAACAGTCCAGTGCCTATCCCACTATGCTGCCACCCAGTAAACTGGGTCCCCACCAGTAAACCTTGTTACCATTCCCGGAAGCCCCTCTGCTCCCATCACATAATTCACACACACACATGCACACACATGGCATCAGCTGTGTTTGTTCCAACCTATTTATGCTAACCTATTCAGTTAGCTAGCAAATCAACAAATTAATAATGAATGGACAAAGAGTGTCCATGAAAACTAAGTTGAATGCTTTGAAAGAAATTGCTAAAGACAGTTGTTTTTTAAAATTGCTGTCAAGTAGGTATGACCAAGACAAACACTTGAAGCAAAATGTTAGGTTTAGCTCTTCAAATTACTTTGGCAATTGTTCTGCATTAAAGAAACTAAAACTCAAAATCCTACATAAACCAACCAGATATACTGTTTTTGAATAGATCCTGACTCCTAGCTGCCCTAAAGGACAGAATATAACTAGCCCATAGGCTTTCCAAGGCTCTAATCTTTACAGAAGCAGACCACCCGTGGGTGGGTTTGAAACATCAACTGTTCATTTAGCAGCTGAGTGCTTTAACCATTGTGACACCAGAGCAAGAGACAAGAAACTTGACTACATGCACTCAAAATGATGGACAAGATTCACCCAATTCACAATGAAAGCAGGACTAAATCCATGGTCATTAAGTCTATTTCAACTCACAGTCACCCTATAGGACAGAGTAGAACTGCTCCCTGGGGTTTCCAAGGCTGTATATTTTTACAGGAGCAGATGGCCTCAGCTATCTCTCATGGAGTGGCTGGTGGATTTGAACCACCAACGCTGCAGTTAGTAGCCCAATGCCTATCAGTTGTTGTCATTGCTAAATGCCACTAATTCAGTTCCGATTCATAGTGACCCTGGTATAGGGTTTCTGAGAAACAGCTGCTAACCTTATGGTTAGCAGTCCGGTGCTCATCCTACAGCATCACACCAGGACTCCCTGTGTTACCAGAGTGACTTCAAAATCCTACACAGGGAGGTTTAAGAAAAAAATAAGTGAAAAGACAGAAGCTCATACTTAAAAGGCCTTGTTCCTACTCAGAAATGGGTGGGTTAAGTTATACAGACTTTAAGTTAAAGATAAAATGTTTGTAAATAAATTCCCACTTACACTGTTGTTGCTGTTTTTAATTCACTAAGCAATTGCAGATCTCAAATAGGTCAGATAGATAAGTGGAGTTTTACGATGTTATTTGGAGCATGGTGGTTCTGTAGAATAAGGACTAAAGTGCTAACCACAACATCAGTAGTTAGTGCCCACCAGCCACGCCTCAGGTGAAAGATGAGGCTTTCTGCTCTTGCAAAGATTTCCAGCCTCAGAAACCCTATCCAGGGTCACTATGAGTCAAAACCAACTCAAAGGCACGCCACAACAGCACCAATTTTATTGTTCCAAAATGCAACCTTCAGAAGTTCAAGGCTAGAGAGAGAGGAGAGAGACAAACGTGGCTAACAGTCATATGGAAAATATTTTGTTCATGAAACCAAGGCTAGAGGCAAGAAGCAGGGTGTAAGTCCAGACACAACCACTGAACCCTTGTATGATGTTCTCCTCTGGGGCCTTATTCACTTTAACTGTAGGATGCACTGCATTCAGTCATGTCTAACATCCTTCACTACCATCCGTCTGTCAGTTTGTCATACTGCAGTGGTCTGCACTTTGCTTCAATGCTAGAAGCTATGCCACCAATATTTCAAATACCAAAGGGTCACCCATGGCGGACAGGTTTCAGTAGAACTTTGAACAAAGACAAACTCTGGAGACAGATTTACTTGCCAAATGTAGTCAGTAAAGCCCTTAGTATCCAACATGTTTGCTTTAGCTATGTCCTCATGAGACTCAAGTTACTGGACACATCATGTTTGATGGAGTGGAGAGGCACAGTGGCCACAAAGATGAACTCAAACATAGCCATGGCTATGGGATGGCATGGAACAGGGCAGGGTGTCCTCCTCTTACAGTACTTGAGGTCCACAAGACTCACAGTAACTCCTACAATGTCCTTCTCGTATCTGGATTCTGCCCACAAATGTTGGTTATGAAGATGTCATCAGACCCTCTGTGCTGTGACTGGCATTTGGGGTGACCATACAGAAGCTAAGTGGTCCCTCCAGACTAGAAAACCACTTCAAGCTAGTCTCTAAGCCATACTATCAACTCATTCAGCTGCCCCAAGAAGCAGGAGGAGGCACATTTGTATATTCTAACATGACAACACCCCCCAAAATAGGTGGCCAAGGAGGGGAGAAACAAAGAAAAAAGGAAATAGATTGCAGAATCTAATGTTTGGCCTGATTCTACTTTTTTGTTTGCATTTGCACACAAAAATGCATTCTCAAACTGTTAACAGGAATTTCCCCTCCTAAAACTGTAGATGTACAGTAGACTCTCATTGCCAAGTAATGTGTTTCCGCATTGCTGAAAAAAAACAAAAACACAGTATGTGTGTGTTACCACAAATATGTGCTTTGTTGATAAAAAGAAAAGAGTCCCCTTCTCCAAAAAATCGTCTTTCAAAAGTAGTTGGAAAAAAACAAATAGTGACACTAGAAAATTTGGGGCCGCTTTGCATATTCTAATGTAATCCCATCCTCAATTCCCACCTTCTAGTTGCTTCTTATGGCCTATTCACTTCCCATCTAGCTGGCCTCTCTGGGGACTGCTTTCAAATGGAAAAGAGAGTCTGGGAGAGTATTCAGAGGTCTCACAGCAAGTGAAGTGGCAAAGTCAGGATCTGAAACCAATTCATCAGATCTAAGTGATGGCCTCCAGTCAAAGGCTGAGGGGTTTCTCAGGGTGTCCCCAGATGTTTTCTTTATGCGAGTCCTTAACGTGGTCTCTCGAACATGTTCTGGGGGAGGTCTTGCCTTTGCCATGACCTGGATGGTAGCTGAAATGCAAATGGCAAGATTCATCCATGGTGCGGCATGCACCAGGACTTCACTTCCCTTCACGGCTGAGGGGTATGTGTGAGGAGTCCATAGTGTGGACACACCCATATTTTGTGTATCTATTCCGTAGTGGTTACGAATCGGGCTGCGAACCTTAAGGTCAACAGTTCAAAAACTACCAGCCACTCAGCGGGAGAAAGATGAAGCTTTCTACTCCCGTAAAGATTTACACCCTCGGAAACCCTGTACAGGGTCGCTATGGGTCGGAACCGACACGACGGCACTTAACAACAACAACAACAATTCATCTGTTGGGAGCCCTGGTGTGACACTCTTGGATAAGCACTGGACTGATAGCCACAAGGTTGACAGTTTAAACCCACTAACCCCTCCTTGGAAACATTATGCAGGGTCGCTAAGAGTCAGAACAAACTCAATGGCACTTTTAGTTGTTGTTGTTAAGTGCCGGCGAGTTGGTTCCGACCCATAGCGACCCTGTACAGGGTTCAATGGCACTTAACAACAATAATAAATTCATCTGCTGATGGATATTTGGTGGTTTCCACCTTTGAGCTATTGTTTAGGAGACAGTGGGCTGTAAGGGTGATAAACAAATTTGGAAGCAAATAGTGGTAATGGTTGCACAACATGATGAGCACAATTGATGGCTTAAAAATTGTGGCTATGACAAAAGCTTGACTAAATGGAAAGGAGCCCTGGCGGCACAATGGGTTAAGTGTTGGGCTGCTAACCAAATGGCAAGTAGTTCTCCCACCTGAGGGAAAACCATGCGGCTGGCTGGTCCCATAAAGACTGACCATCTTGGATGGCTGTTAGTCGGAATTGACTCACAACAGTAGAGGTTTTTTTTGTTGTTGCTGTTTTTATAGTCATAGTTAGCTGCTCCCTGGAAATGCTATACAAGGTGGCTATGAGTCAGAATCAACTCGGTGGCATGGAACAACAACTAAATAGATATTTCTGTCTCGCTAAGCCTTCCCCTGAAGAATTCTGGGCTCTTCAATCTATACCACTTCAAGATGGCGGTTTTGGCATCCTTGAGGAACTCAAATTGTGTTCCTGTTCTTCGAGTTTGGGCGGAAAAAGAAGTCTGAAAGGACCAAATCACAGTTGTAGGGTGGATGGGGTAAGGTTTCCCTGCAAAATTCTCATAGGATAGAGTGAAAGGAGGACAAAGTTAATTTGACACATTC